AAAAAAAAAAAAAAAAAAAAAAAAAAAACTATCAAACTATTTCGTAACGAAATTCTAACATTGAATCGAAGTCGGTTATCGAGTCTGGCTTGTATAGAAACAGCCCGGCCGTATACAATAGAATTTCGAATTTCATTATATTTCCATTTTATACTCCGAATGTAGCGAAAAATGTATTGGTTTTACTAAGATGTTTATTTTTCCTTTTCATACTGTGGTACAATAATTCCACCAGAAATCTTGCTCAGATTTTTACACGCGCGGCGCTATTTCTGAATGAAAATGTTGTCCAGTTTTTTTTTTTTTTTTTAAAACATATGTGTATTGCCGTTCTATAAACGATGGATAAGTCAGAATTAAGCGGACGGACTGCGCCTTAACGTAATTCATCATAGCCGTGTTGGCGAATTGATTTCCGAGACTCACTCTAAGTACTACAGTTGATTCCTGGGTTACTGTTTGGTATGTACGAGTGGATTCCCCTTATTTGCCGTATATCAGTAACACGTATGATACGCGTATATTACGATAGTATTATGTCGAATGAGCACTTTAGTCTATTAGCGTTACCCAAGTGACGCCACCCACCAGGTGGCGTTGGCTGACAAGTCTCTCAATAATCTTCCTCGTTTTTTTTTTCGTATTCATATTTTGAACCGTGAACTTTACGACATTTTTTATTCGGAATATTTCAGGTAGGTATTCGGTATTCGGATCACAGTCATAGAATCGCCATTTTAGTTTGCACTAGGTTAAAACGTATAAAACGCATTGTTTTCAAAAACCGATATCCGGTAGTGAGATTATACCATTATACACTACTGTATACTACTGTACTTACTCTCATCAGTTCGATCGCAACAATTCATTTTCCTCTGTTTTTCATTAACTATCTAGTCCCGTTGCTTACGTTTCCGAATTTACCTCTCGCAGCGCGCCTATAAATTCCGTTACCGATACACGACAATAAGGGCATCGACTCGCGTGTACGTACCTCTCAACAGCCGCGGGACCGGCGATACCGGCCGCGCGGGTAAACGGATACCCGGGGAATCGTATGCTCGTACGCGCGGCCATTTACAGGTGCACTATTATCGAAGTGCAGTCGAAAAACATAGCGTCATATGGAATGCAGGAGCAACGGGACGAATAAAGAACGCGTGAGAACGTTTTCGAAATATAACCGCGAACGTTTAGTAACAAATTTCGCAGCGTATTTACTATAGAAACTTTCCAGACGCGACATTATAATTTAGCGAACTGTATTATTGAAACGCATATAGGGGGGAATACAATACGCTTTTAACGCGCGTATCACGGAAATAAGCTCGATCTACGGTTATAATATCACTGCGTCCGTGTATATAAATACGCTCGGAATTAAAAACGGTTTCAAACTCGGCTTAACGTTCTTTTGATAGCCCGCTTCATTAATAATTGTTATGGCGCGTACTATTGTACTACTGTGTACACGTAGTTTTGTTCGTCGCGTTGCGAAAAGTTCTCGAACACTGTGCGTATAATAACAACAACAACAACAATAATAATAATAACAATAATAGCGTAAACGTCGCGTTAAGTTTGATTTTAATAGATTCTGCGCGCACGCGCCGAATTGAACCGCGCGGACGAACGATATCGTCGTTTTGTACGCGCCCGAAACGGCCCGCAACAGACGCGAACCGATAGCCGCGCGCGCGCGCGCGGATTTATCGAACGGCAAACGCGCGACAGCCGTTCCGGCACCCGGACCGGTTCGCGATTACGCGCACAACGCCGGAGACGCCGTCGAAACGGTGGACGGGCGCGGGACTTTGTGAAACGTCGCGTAGCGATCGCCGACGCGGGAGGCCGGCCGCGACTCGTTCACGGCGCGGCGCGCGATCGGCGCGTCGACGCGCGGCGGGAATCCAGGCGGGAAACGTGTCGACGTCTAGTCGCCCGGCACTCGGCGTCCAGTCCGTCCGCGGCGGCCCGCCCGTTGACGCGCGGACGGCGAGTGATGAGCAAGCGACGGTGACGGGAAATCCGTAAAGCGCGGGATCGGCCGTAGCGCTCGTGTCCGCGAAACGAAAACTACGGACGGCAATGCCCGGAAGCGCAATGAGTTGGTGGTGCGGACCGTTGTTGCCGCCGTTTCCGATTCGCGTACCGACGAAAACGCTACCGAGTCGCGTTGCCGCGACGACGTATGGTTGCCGTCCCTCGAAAAAAATCGTCCCGGTGTCGTTTACGCGTAAACGCCGTCTCGACGTGCAAACAGCCCACGTCGGTCTGTTATTCGAGATAAATATTACCGCGGTGACCGCCCACGCGCGTTTAATTTATAGCGGTAAAATATTACCGCTGAAATATTATCGACTGTTATAATAATAACAGTCGATTGTCGTTCGTTCGTTCGGCCGTTCACGACCGCGTGCGAAACCATGAAACTCGATATCGGCGAGCGGGCGTAACGGCGTAACGGTTTTACTAGAAATTCGGAAATGTCCCAGAGTCAGCGGTCAAACGCGTTACGGAACGAAAACGGTAAAAGAAAGCTTCCGGGTCGCGTGTACTTTAATGTCGTCGCGATATTATTTTTTTAATATTGAGATTGTAAACGGTTACAGTTCGATTTTCGTTTATACGGTTATAAAGATCGTGCGTCATTATTAGTAAACCCGGGACGGGTTAAACTCGTCGCCCGCCGTCGATAAACTATTGAAATCACCGGATATTTGACCTTTAATACGCGCCGCGAGGTCGGGTTGGGTTACGCGTTCGCCCGTGGCGCGATCCAAACACAGATATTTTGGCAAGTAATTTAACGCGGTTGTCCGCGCGATAAATGCACGATCATAATACGGGATGCGTCCGCTTTCCCCCGGGTGTTAAGGGGGAAAAAAAAAAACAAACGAATAAAACGGTCCGAAAATCCAATGTCCTGCGACTTAGATGCCGACCCGGACAAATGCAGATTTCGTCCGAACTCCAAACGCGTCCACGTCCGCTAGGAACAGTATTGTTCAATACCGTTCCTAGAGAAGTTCTAAATGTTCTAAATGTGTACCTAAAACCGAAAACTTTGTAGCGGGGTACTCGATTGGCCGGCTAAAAGAACGTGTAAATAAATGGCAACAGCCGTTTTTTGCCGGGTACCGTTAGTAATTACGCGTCGAATTAGAACGGCCGATTTCGATCATGTTGTCCGGGGCAAAGATGGGGGTACAACTTCCCCTTAGCTTTCCAGCAAGTCGAAACAACCGTAACCGAATTCAATGTCTCGAAATACCGAAATTCGTCGTCGGTACCAAGGATGCGTTGATATTTATCAATTATCTGGTCGGTAGGTATATTTCGTGATAATACGATTCCGCCGATTTTTCATCACAATGTACAAATAATTCACGCCCCATTGATTTTTGCGCCGACCACTTACAGCGGACAATTTGTGGACGCCCGACTTGCGGTTATCTAACGCGTGAAAATCGTTTATGCGGATGATGCACGTTGAGTTTACGAAAAAGTTGTTGCAGCATTCAGGAAACATAAAAAGCAATCACGGTCCGTGTTCAATTAGTTACCGTACGTGCAATACGTATGCATTATATTTGAATACTTTTAAACATTTTTGAAAATTAACATAATCTCTATGCATAAAAAAAAAATGTCTGTATGTCCGTACGTCCTTTACAGACCCAAAAACTGCCGGACCGAATTTAACGGGGTTTTTCGCGACACGTTTCGCGTGGTCCGGAGAAGTTTTATAGCGTTTGAAATTTCTCTTGACGCGGACATTTTGTTATTTCGGGTTTTCGTTGATTGCGCGGCGTATCTAATGTACCGTAGGGTCAAAACGTATCTATGGTAACCACTGAATATCCGTTTGTTGATTCCGTTGCAATTTCGACCGCTGATCGACGATCGACAAATCCGAATCCGTTTGGTTTAGTTTCAACGGCATTTCTGCGCGGTAACGCCTCCCAAAGAACGTGCGACCGTCATCCGTTCTACGTCCGAAGCACGAGAGAAAAAGGCAACGCGAGTCTCATACACAGACGAGCAGCGAGACGCACGATTGAAAACCGCCCGAGAACATAATGCAAACTCGGTAAATCGTATGTATTGCACGTTATTCGATACGAGCAACGCCGGGCGGGACAGCTATTTTCATAAAAGTTGTCGGCAAATATACAGATAAAGCCGTAAAGGTATGAATGGAACACCGTACCGTCTGCGAGCGACGACTTTACAATACGGCACGCGGGCTCTGTCGCTGTCGAACGTCGCCGTTCCCGGGCAAGTTATAGGTTAGGCTTCGTTTCTTTTAAACCCCCCCCCACCCCACCCTCTACTCCCGAAATCCGGTATTTAGTTTATTTTTGGTATGGAAACTGTAAAAAAATACATCGCGACGGAACACTTTTAGCCGGCCGAAGGTTCCGGCCACTTTCCGCCGATTCGTTTTCGTTCAATGCGGTACACGGTCAATGCTGATGAGTAAAAATAATACAAATTGGGCGCGGGCAACGCCAGCGCATTAATGCAAATTAAGACCGTCCCCTCTCCCTGAATTTTCACCTCCGGGCGCCCTTGTCCGGGAGGGGGGGAGGGGGCGTCGATTCGTCGACATCGAATATCCGTGTACCGATCGTATAATGCGTTCGGGTTTAAATTGTCGGTACTTTTCCGTTTCGGGGTCGTGTCGCGTCACCGTGATTGCGGTCCGGGGAGAAACGATATTCGCGCGATCACACTCGTATTTTTAGAATACCGTATACGAATCATCGCGCGTTATACGATTTTTTTTTTTTTTTTTTTTTTACCACCTCCGAAAGCGTTTGTCGATGGTCTCTTTTCCCGCATCGTATATTACCTACCGTGTCGGTATCTACATAATAAAAGTCTTCGTTCGATTTTTCCGCGCGTCGCCGTGATTGCAAATGCAAACCACGTGAGCTTTGAGCGCATATAATATGTACGGTCGTGTACCCGATTACCATAATTTAGTCGGGCTCGGTTATTTCAGCTATACGCAGGTGTATTCGTTTTCGTATCGTTATAAGTTTTTTTTTTTTTTTTTCTTCTTCTTTTACAAAATCATCATTTCCCGAGCAGCGGACGCTATAATATTATACCGTTGACGTTTTGCCCGGAACGTTTTCACACTACACCTCGATTTTCGGCGCTTTAACGATTTTAAGTAAATTCTTTTGCATTATTATTTTTCAACTGTTAGATTGGCCCAATCATTTTGACGGACCTCTCACTCGTCCGCCAATCCGCTATAGCCACTCTCGCGGTTCTTTGTTAGCATTGTATTTCCTATGCGTCGTCTACGATCTTTTTTATACGTTTCACAAAGAGCTCTCGGTCTATTATTTCTTCTAAATTTCCCTCCCATATCTTTCCTTCCGTCGTCGTCGTTATCCGTTCGTTGTTCATCGGTAGATATGTTTGCTCAATCAATTTTCGTCTGCCTTTCCTTGATTGTTTTCCATATAGATTTCCGTTTGGAAATTCTGCAATATGCGAATTGGTCTTTAGCTCTCTCTCTCTCTTTCTCTGTCCGCGGAATGGCAAGGAACGCGAGGAATTTAGTTCAGGAATTTCCGTCATATCGTTTGGTTAAAATAGTTCGTTTAGCTTTATCGCAGCGAAACGATGAGGCCGGGCGAGTTATATGAATAATTCAACTATAAGCTCGGTGTCAAGTTGAGAATATTGTTTTATTGTCATTAACTGCTGCGGTAAGTCAAAAGTTTATTTAAACATTTAGGTTTAAACTTAAGTAAGGGTATTTTAGATTCCGAGTGGAACGAAGAAGCGTATGGATATTAACAACGGTGGTCATTTTTCGATTTTCTCGGGAGTTTTCTCATCAAATACGAAAAACCGTAAAAAAAAAAAACGGAGGAGGAAAAACGGAGAAATCGAAACAATATTGAACAAATATTATATTCAATGCCTATTTAATTATTGCACAATAATATATAACATTTATATTGTTGACACAGCGTCGCTATCAACTGAATTTCGCTCAGAATCGTTTATTTGTTATCAATGATTTATCGTTGCTTACATTAAATTACCTTTATCGGTGGCTGCACACGTCCCCATTACCCTAGGACGTCTTATTCTTCCCACGGCAATTTTCGTTAACAATTACATCCCTCTCCACCTCTCCGCCCTATTTATATTCTCTCGGTTTGTTATTATCTTACTACAAACAACTGAACTGCACTCAAAATCGGTTTTTCGTTAGCAATGGTTTATCGTTGCTGTAATCACAGATGTACATTAAAATACTCTTGTGCGTTCTACCTTCCCAGCTTCCCATCCAAGTAATAATACTTATATTAATATTAAACAAATTACGGTTTTCAGAAAATAATAATAAAAAAAAAAAATATTGTCGTATTGTACGTACAGTGTGATAATGTATAGTATAGTGTCATTGGCTATTGTTCAGACTCTAAATAGGTTCTCAACCTTTCCCTCCCCCCTAAACCACTCGGTAATTTATTCCGTTTTCCGTAGAACCCCCGATATCGTTTATTACCAATAAACACGTTTCAATAGGCATTGAACACTGTTGTTAACACTGAACGTTCGTACCGCGATGCCGTACAACAGTTGTAGGACGCAAAGGCGTTATCGGCTATCGCGAAACGAAAACGCGGTAAAAACCAGTAATCGCGATTGCAACGGCTTATCGGTTTATCGGTTGTGTCACCCTGTACATACAAACATACGTTCCTATACGACTGATTCATTGCTCCGCAACAGAGGCCCGCCCACGGTGCAAAACGCGTCCGGCTTTTTAACGTTCGACGGCGGCACAATGTAACGATTATTATACAACGTAACGATACTCGACTTACTCGTTTTCATTTTGATTTTTTGTTTTTTTTTTTTTTTTTTTTGCTTTATTACGTCCGGCCGCCATTATATCATAATATTTTTCCGGGATACATTTATCGGAAACCGAAAAAAAAATCACTATTAAGTCTCGTTTATCGCGCGGATATTCTGTAACGGCCTTAACGGCCCGTAGATAAGTCCCTCGCGCCTATTTCTTTTATTGAGACTTTATTTTACTTTTTTTTTTATTTTTTATGTCGGCATCGTTAAACGTATTATTCTTATTTTCTTCACACACGCGCACCTACTATATAGTCGTATATTTTTATCTCCTTCTCCCGGATCGCGTACGACGTGAAGTACGACTTGCGGTTTTCGATAAGTATTTATTTTATTTTTTTATTTTTGTAAATGCTTATAGGTGCGATTTCGAATCATCGCGGCGCCTTGTTCTATTAAATATGCTTTTATTATACAATACGAGCAGAGTTGGCCAATATATTTTTCGGTCGAGAGATTTATTACAAGAATATTCGTTTTTAGATTTTGAGTGGAACAAAAAGCTTATCGTTTTACAACATGTTAATTTTTTTCCGTAGACAACTTTTCTACCAGAGGTCTTGCTCCGATTTTTAAGCGTAGCACTTTTTATGAAATGAAATAGATGTTGGGAGGAACATTAAGGATATAATTTTTCGATTTTCCCAGGATTTTTCTCAATAAAAGTGAACGACCGGGAAAAACGTAGGGAAAACGTAGGGAATATATGATACCTACTCAATTATTTTAATATAATATGATATATGTATTGTTGAGAAAGCATCACTGTCAACTGAACTCCGCTAAGAATCGTTTTTTTTTTTTTTTTTTTATAAATGGTTTGTCGTTAGTTACAGGTATACATTATGTTAACTATTACAGTGGCTGCATCTGTGTCCTCATTATCCTAGGAAAATATTTAAGTACTTGTTCTTGAGAAAATAACAAGTTTTCTTTGTAAAATATCAATAAAAAAAAAAACCCCTATCGTTTAAATAAACTTAATAAGAATGATTTTTTTCTGTAGTAACGCCAGTCCTGTCAAGGCGGCGCACAATTTACAAGCAGCTAATATAATGAAATATAGTTAAATGTTCAATCAGAATGCCGAGGAAATGTTTTTTCTCAGTTTACTGAAATGTATAAATCGTCTGAGAGTATGAATAAAATTTAAAAAGTTGATTTGAAAATTCCAAGGGATTTTTCACGACACGCGGTTCGTGAAAATTATCCAACCAACGATACAAAATTCCGTATTTATTCCATTATCAGATTATGTGTTTAACGGTTTAAAATCGCGTTTTTCACAAACAACTCCCGAATGCTCGAATTAAGGGTGTCGGTGCCGGCCATTTATTAAGGATTAAAATTTAGGCGATTCATTCGCATGCCGTATCAGCGGCCCGTGACCCACGTGTACGCGCGGGTGTGTAAATCGACACTGGTGCGAGTGAGCTATTCGGCTATTAATCGATAACGCTAAAAGCTTATTTTTCGGCAAACGGATTTTGAACGGCCACCGCGCGGTGTACGACGGCGTACGCATAATAGGGGTGGTGTATACATAATTCGTTATTTTGTTATAGTAATATTATACGTTACATACAATGCGCATATTTTTGTTATATTTTTTTTTCAACGTAAGTACGTTATATATATTTAAAACTCAGCCGACGGCGTAAATCAGATTTTTTAGCGTGTATTATGTATATTATATTATGTACCGTGTAGGTCGGCATTCGAGGTGACAGATTTGTATTTTTTAACCGCGCCTGTAATTTGCACCGCGTCAGCGCGTAAGAAACAGGAATCGTAATTTTCGCCGAAATTCAAATCGGTTATTCATTCGACAGTATCTACGCACAAGTTTCGATAGTATTTCGTGTGTATTATATTGAGAAGCTAAACACACGGAATATTCCGTTTCGATTTTGAGCGGTTATTTCACTTGCCTACTCACGCCGTCTTGCGGTACGTCAGTATTGACTCAAAACCTGCCTCGTATCAATAACGTATGACAGACATATTCGACAGTGCAGTTTTACTATCGCAGGCGAAAATATAATCGAGCATTTTTTTCGCGCTACAGATGAAAAGTCGGAAAGGCCCTTAGGATGTTTGGACGATTCGGTCGGAATAGTAAATTATGCGATTACGGCGCATCAATCGAGCGTAAAAATTTCGAAGCGATTACCAGATGAAATAATGCCGGTCAGAAATGTTACGGCGTACGGAAGTTTGAAAACATCAGTCGAACAGCGTAATAGTTTGTAAAGACGAACTGTTTTTTAAAAAAAAAAAAAAAATAGCAGCATAGACGAGCAATAATTGTCTGTAATACCGCTGCGCGGCCGCGGGTCGATTGAATATAGACACTCGGAACACACATCGATGTTCGTTTCGGGCGCGAGTCGCAAACGCCGCGTCCGGCTACCCGTAACGGTGCGGATTACGCGGCGTGTTTATTTTGGCGCGGATCGCAAACTGCCCGATATTATAACGACGCAGCGGCCGACAAATGATTGAATACTGGGTATTGTATTGTCTCTCCGGAGGGATCGATACGACACGCGCGCCTGTGCGCGGCGGCGGTGCACGCGATTTTCTCGGGGGTGTCGCCAATGATTACGACGTTACATTGTGTTGCACGGTTTTGCGTGTATTCGTTTTGGTGCCGCGGTGCCGGATAACGAAAACCAAGCGCAGAATCAACCGCGTCAACGAGCGCCGGCTCGGGTATCTCGATTTCAAACGATTAAATCGCGTAATGCCCGAGAAATTCGAAAATTCCAAAAAATATTAGAAAATTTCGATTGTAGCCGTGTACAGATTTCGGTAAATTTCTTCTTTTTTTTTTTTTTTCAGACTTTACGCACCTCTGATTTTCCATGTCCGTTCGTATTTCGTGTCTGGGTCAATCGAATTACAGAATTAACGTTGAGATCGCCTACGATTAACGATCGAAATTTAAACGAATACGATTTTTGGGTACGCGTTATGACCGTGTATTAGGTAAGTGCGCGCTATACACTTGCATAATGCCGGCAGTGACGGCGGGGGTCGTGTAATCAATATAAATAATTTCGGGGCCCTGTGGATCGAAACAAGTTGCGCGCCGCTGATATACGGGATAAAGAGTTTCTCGAAACGAAATTCTCTCGTGAACTTTATACGGCGAAACATGTAGCCGACCGCGCAATGTATATGTATTTATTTATATAGTACACACGCATACGCATACACGTATAAAATAAAGATGCGGTCGAGCGAACTAAATAAATAAATAATAAAAAAAAAAAAACAAAACAAAACAAAACAAGAAGAAAGAGGAAATGTTTAAAACGTATTTTCGAAATCGTGGTACGAGAACATTCCGAAAATTCGACATGAAATGCAAAGGGATACCTTTGCATTACCTACCCGCGCTATTATATACGAGTGCCGTTTTTATCTTTCGCGCAGCGTTGTTGCACAACTCTCGCCGTAATAAAGAATAAAAGTATTCGGCTACGTTTTTATACGGACAAAACAAAAAAAAAAAAATGTTCAAAGTCTTCAGTTCCTCGTACAAAAACAAAAACAAAAAAGAGAATAGCAAAACAAAAAAAGTGAAACTTTTTGATCTAAATGGTTTATAACTCAACCGCCCGTTTATTGTTTCGTATACAAACGGCAACGTCGTCGTCGTCGCCCGTTGTAATATCCGAGTGTAATAATTAATTTCTCGAGTACCTACTGCTGGATATTATTTTTTTTATTCGAAATTTTCTTTTCGTTAAACCGTAATGAATATTGTAATATTATAGAAGTCCGTGTGTGTTTTATCGACGGAAATAAAAGAATTTTCCTTTTAGATTCTGGGTGGAGCGAAGAAGCTTATTAGTTTTTACAAAGATAATTATTATTTTTTTTTTTTTTTTATATGTGCGCGCAACTTTTCTACCAGAAGACTTTCTCGGATTTCTACGTATAGCGCTTTTTCTGAAAGGAATTCGGCGTGCGGAGGTACTTCTAGGATGTAATTTTTCGATTTTTTCAAGAGTTTTCACATCGGATGTGAAAAACCGAAAAATAAAAAAACCGGGAAAATGTACGAAATTGTATTCATAAAATATTACGATTTATTTTGCCCGCTCAGAATCTTTTATTCGTAAGCAATGGTCTATCGTTGCTTACACCTGTACATTAAATCATCTATAACAGTGGCTGCACTAACCGTAGGAAATTTATGACGGTGCAGATGGTTATATTTTGCGGGCAGATATAACAATAATCCGTTTTGAGTTCGGTATTGCAATAATTATTAATTATATTGCCGTACGGCGATATTCGTTAAAATCCACCTCGCGGATACAAAACGAGCCGCAACGTCGTCGTACGATTCGTGGAAAACCAATGCGTTATTTCGCATCGGTCAGCGGTCAAAAAAAAAAAAAAAACAAACCCGAATTCGATATTTCCAGTACGGTTTTATTGTAATCATTTCGCGTCCGTCTTTCGGTTCGAACCGGCGATTCGCCACGGGTGTTTAAAATGCACGCGTAGGCGGACAGACGTGTATTCGAGCATACGCGTGAAATCCCCGAAGCCTCGGCTTAAACGTCGGGAGCCCGCGCGTTACGCCGAAAACCGATACGTCCCCCCGCCCGCCCGAGCAAGGGCATACGCGATGTCCGACGGGTATTTATATTAAAATAGCCGCGTGTTTATTGATTAGCGCCTACGACAGGGGCCCGCCCGTCCTCGGTGTCGGGCGCTTATTTTTTTTTTTTTCTAAAAAACTAAATATCGGTGTACTCGAACACACGACTGTCGTCGAACACGCGGGTTTCGTATTTGGGCGCGCGCGAGATCGTTCGGTACCCCCGATCTCGGTCGGTACGACTGCCGCGCACGGCTACACCGTGGCGGCCCAATCACTCGGGCGGTATAACGCGCCGCCGTTTAGCGTTAGGTTCCGGCGGTTTTTATGCGCTCGCGCCGGAAACCGCGCGGGCAACGTGAACGCGCGGCCGATAATCGACTCGAGTAGGCGCACTGGTTCCCCGGGACCGACGGCCGGGTTTCCGCGGCGTGGGTACCACGGGAGCCGCGTGGTTCGTTCGTTTCTCAAGCCGCGCCCGCCCCGTCCCGTCAGCAGCAGTATTTTCATAGTGCATTCGATAGTAATTTTTTTTTAAGAAAACAAAATAAAACCGCCGAACAACCGCCGTGTTATACGGTTTTCAGATTGTTAATAAAACGTCAACGGTCTAATCGTTTCCGCGGCGGCGCTACGGATAAAAATTATATTCTAAGGCGAACGCGCGGTCGTAAATTATGTATAATATTATAATGTACAATATTGAACCCGCGAAAAACTTTTCGGTAAATCGACGACGGGCGCGAAAACCCGCCGTCGTCCTCGCCGTAAACCTACGCGTTCTGAGCGTATAATAATCGATATTCTTTACGATCGTTTGCGCAGCCGACGCGTAAAAAAACAATATCAATATAATAATAA